AATACAGAGTGATACGAAGTTGAGTATGCTATAACTGACAGTTTTGTAACCCAATAAACATGTGAATGATAAAACTGTTCAAAATATAGCCTTATATTTTTAAGAATGTGCACACAGCCCAATATATCAAAGTTCTTTGATATCCAATTTTGCCCTGAACAGTATGTTCATTGCAACACATCAGAAAAGCTGGACTTTGGAGATGTCTCATTCCACAAAAATAATCCATGAATATGTGCAAATCCATTTGCAGGATATTTTTTATGACTATTATTTCAAGGAAACATATATTCAAGGGATTTTTAACTAACCTGTTTTTATGGGTGGTTGTAGATGCCTTCTTAAATTTTACACGCTAAAAGACACGCAGAAACAAAAAAATCCTTCATGTATTGAAGCCTGAGCAGTCAGCTGTGAGTTAGGGACTCTTCTGTCACAGACCATCCAAAGACTGACAAAACTGATAGTGGACTTCTAAGGCTTTATGCTCAAAGTTTCCAAAAAGATTTTAAATTAATTTCATAGCACATTTATAAAGTATGTAAATGTTACTGCTGCTCCAACATACAACAGCAGAAGGCACAGAAACTTCAATACTTCCTAATATCACTCAAAGACTCTATGATACAGTCAAGAATTGAATGAAGGTCTCCTGAATCTCTATTCACAGCAAAGAGTTTTGCTTTCATCTGATAATCCCTGACTGCCAGAGGCTATTGCAGGGTGGCCTAAATTAAAGGAACCCTGAGGTAGTGTTAATTTGTGCCATAAGGTCAAAACAGTCTCTATTACCCCAAGGGCTTTGTTAGCACAATGGTGGCATAGTCACTTTTGTTATTTTTTTCCTGTTGCTCAACTGAGCACAACCTAGATAGTCCTAAACACTGGATATTGCAGTGTTTAAACTTATTTGCCATTAGAAAGTCTTGAATAACAATTTATACTGACAAAGTTCTGGTTAAGGTTGTTAGTGAGTTGTTTATATTTTGTTGTGTGTGGCAAGAATACTGTAAAAATAGCTTGCTTCTACACTTTAAAGAATATCTACATTATTTAAAATAAATAACTTAAAAGAAAGTAAATTGAACTATTGACTATTCACCATTCTTTTCTTTATTTTTTTTCTCAAGACTAGTACTTCCAGAATGTTGATAGAAGCATAAGTGCTTGTAAACAGCAAATAATGAGGTGTATAAAGATAGTTAATTTGAATAGCTGTTCAAAACTGAACAAATGCTTATAAACAGTCTTTTGAAATGTTTGACCAGCTTCTCCTATATATACTTCAATAATACATACATGGATGCATGTCAGCATTTATAACATCAGGGTTTGTATACTTATGCATTTTCTCATTAGCTCATGAAGTGGATTTGTCCCATCTGCCATACTATTAACTTTATTCATTAGCAAAGATAAATTTAAACCCAGTGATTACAAAAATACTATATCTTTACAGTTCATCTGCAATGTTATCTTCATGATTTGGGGGCAAATCTTGAGTGTCAGCTCCAACTTCAGCACTTGTACTACTTAAAAAGGCATTGGTGGAGGGATGAGAAGGAAAGCTAGGATCTGGCAGGAAAAAAACTATATCTATTCTTCACAAAGAGAAAGGAAACATCTTTCCTAATGTCTCAGTGAATTAAGTTTGGGAATGTGTCCATAAAACTGTTGTGTTTTGTAAGTCTCGTGTACTAACAGCAAGCTACAAACCCCAATATCTTGTATTTATCAACTACATATTTGCATATTGGCTATCTCAATTTCAAGAATGACTCCTAAGGTAACATCCCCCTTTCCTGCCAAGTATATTGGGAGATCATCAGTTTATGGAGGTTCTGCTTTGTGTGTTGGTACTTACTCTTCTTGCACTCAGAGCATCCATGGATTTAACTTTTCATCTCTACTTCTCAGAGCCATTCACACAAACTACCATTTCTCTTTCTTAACAATATTTCTGTTTCTGTGTGTTTTAAATTCTTTACTTATTCTTTTATTTTTATGTACTTTCTGTTTGTAATTACATTCTTCAATTTTGCAATTTAATGTATACATTTGTTCTCAATGGGAATTCATTTTGCTTGCTAGGAAGATGATACAAAAATATTTCAATGTATTTTAGCTGCATCACCATTTAGGGTTTTGCACAACACATCTTTCTAGAACTGATAGGACAGAATGGGCAAGACAGGCACTCAGGTCACAGTGGAGTAAACAGCTGTGTTCTTCACATAATGATTGTTGGTGGAAGACAATTTGGTACAGACACCTCAAAAGTGGGGCCACGTATTTTAATGAAATAAGGAATGCTTTAGTAAATTGGGTTACATTTGAAGTTTAGCCATACAAGCTGTGCATCCTTTGTCAGTGGAGAGAAAGCCGTGTTAAACTGCTACCACAGTCAACAGGTTTCTACTGTCCAGCAACTTCAGGGAATCCCCTTTCAGCACAAAGCCAGATATCAAAATACTGGTTATATGATCCCTTTACTGCCTAAGATTCTGCCTTTCCTTGTAACAGGAATTTGTTAATACTGTTTTTATATAAGCAGAGGACAGAGGATGCTTTTTGATCTTTTCAATGATCATTCACCCATTTCTTTATCCTTCCATCCATTTTTATCACCATATCTTCATATTTTGCCTCATATACATTCATTCTCCCTAAATGCATCAGCAATGAGAGACTTTAAATTTGTATGTTCCCATTGCAGTCTGCTTCAGAGGGATTCTTAGAATGTCCTGTCTTCCCAAGGACAGGATAGATATCTTTTTCATGGAAGACTAAAATCTGAATAAGAAGTAAGATAAGAGTGATATCAAAATATCCCTAAAATGTAGATAAAGCATTATTTTCAGATCCCATTGAATCCCTCAAGTGTTTTCTAGCCAGTTCTTGTTTTGCTACTCCAGTACTGTGTACTGTGTTAAAATTAGCTTCATCCTTGAAAACCTTATTAAATGTCACTGGATATATTCAAACATTTACATGTTTTGATGTTTTGCCCTGTTTTGAGCAGTATAACTTAATCAGCAGTCATGTAGCAACATCCAAGACAAACACAATAATAGCCTTGTGTTGTATTTTTCATTAATTGATATGGAGCTTACACTGCCTTCCATTGCACTTGTATTCATTTCTCTTATTTTTTCTATAAACAAGAACAGAAATAATTTTTTTCATTATCAATGAAATAATTTCTGTAATAATATCAAACTGCTTTCATGAAATTCTATATGATGATGATAAATGTTGATATTATATTCAATTTGGAGTCTCTCCTATTCATGTCGTGTTGCATTTTTTAGGACTTGGAAGGCTAAGCCCATGATCTAGCTTAAAGAGATGCAAATTAGGATTATAGCCAAAAATATGAATCAGGAAATTTATTACTGAATGTTGTGAGAATGTCTCCTTTAAGGCCTTGAAAAATAATTAAAATATGCTACTTTCATTTTCAGAAATCAGTTATAAAGTGTTGTATATGAACCAGAAATTTCAGTGTTGAGGCCTTTGCACTTTTCTAAGAAAACTCATAATTTACTATTCAGAAATCCAATTGTTTTTTTCACAATCTCTGTCCAGGCTTCAACTGAGAGAGTATTTCAGTAGTAACCCTTGGAATTACTAAGAAAGAAATATTTCTCAGCTTTTCCATACACATTCATGACTTCCATTTAACAACATTAGGTGTAGCAGTGTGGCAAGCTTTGGAAGCTATCTCCAGAAGAGTTGTGTTTTATTTCAGATTTTTTCATGGAGAAACAAGCACCCTAGTTTGTGGAAATTGTATTTGGAAAAAAAGACCCCTATTTAAGACAATGGCAAAATTCTCAGTGATTTCATTAGCAGCCAGGCCTAACAACAAATTGCTGACAAATAAGTCTATAGCATAGTTTATTTAAGTATTTACAGTTCAGTGCTTAAAGATGTTCACGTGAAACTTTTGGCACTACATTTTAAATATCAGATAGCTGTGTTATTTATAAAATATTTTACCTAAGATTTCACGCTCTAGAGAAAATTCTGATTTTGTCTTTGCAAACCATCTGCTTTTATTTGTCAGCCTGGCCTTTTTTCTAATGCTCATTAAAAGGGATTCTCAATTTTGGCCACTGATGTATTTAAAAACATTATAATGAAAAAATTCTAAACGTATATAATAATATTGTAAATGTTCTCTGTCTCTTCATAGGTAAAAGAGCATAAAATTTCATGCAAGCCTCTGCCTGACTGTATTAAAAGGGATTGACCAGCTTTAAATCTTATCAGTGTAACCATTACAGAAAACAGTGAAGTCATTTCTGATTGTAGATAGTCATAGCAACTCAATATTCACAGTCCACACTGTAGTAACATAGCTGTGATACTTAAATGGACAGAAACAACAATTCATTGTAATAAAGAATTTAATCTTTGTTATTAGAATAATAATAGGCTTATCAATTCTCTACTGTTAATTATACTCCATCTTAATAAGATTATATTGAAGTACCCTTTCAAGCAATGCATTGTAAATATACCAAGCTACAGTTCCATTTAGAGATGCACAACATGCCAAAAGTATATGGCATCAGTATTTTCCGAAATGGACACAGAAAAAGAAATCCTGTGAAGGGCACAGCTGTAGGAAAAGAGGGAAAATCTCTATATGGTAGTGTTTAGAAATAATTGGAAGAGACTTGTTTTGTTTTTTTATATAATACTAGTTCTCACAGTGCTGAACTGGTTTATTTACTGATTATAAGGATGTAGCTGGACTGACAGAAGCTGTGCAGACTTTGTCAAAGTATCAGTTCTTTACTCCTTTCTGATGCAAGTTCCTTTTCATATTCAGCAGAGCAACTAATAATTCTCTATTGTGTCAATTCAATCCTTCAAATCTCTGCTATTAATCACATTTTATGCATAAATGGCATGATATTTTTATGAATTAGAATAATTCAGATAAGTGGTAAACATATATTTTTTTCCAAAAACATATGCTGAAGACTTACACATGAAATGCAAAGGCAGTGACTTGAAGCTCATTCCTGTGTCCCCACTTCAGGAAAGCTGACTGGTCTGTTTACTCTCTGAAGGACTGGACTTATTATGAGCAGGAAATGCACAGGAAGGAAGACCTGGAAAAAAACTGAGTTATTTAGGTAATTGAAACACATGTATAATGTAATTACCAATACCAGAATCAGAGAAGCAGTTATCCTAATTTCATGTGTGTTTTAACCTTTTAGCATTTTTTTTCTCTCAATATTAATTTATATATTTTATATATTTTACATAAAATTTGGTCACTAACCAAAGCCTCAAGACTGAAATTTATCTTAATTTCTCTGAGGATCAAAGCTTTACATTTGAAAGAAAAGACTTTATTTATCATGAAAATGAAGCAGAAGGACAAAGATAACTTAAACATCTCTTATCTTGTATTGTAACTGAGAGAGGTAAATTTGTTTATACTGTTTTGTAGTATTTATATATTTCTCAGTTTTTAGAATTACCTTATGTTCAGGTATACTTATGAGAAGCCCTCTCGTACAGTTAAATATTTTCATTAAAATATAATTAAGTAGTTTGTAGGCTATAAAAAACTGATATGCAAAAAAACATGAATAAAATACAGGAAATATTGGAAAATGCTAGTGTATACATGATCTGCGAGTTGTAGGCATAAATAAAACCTTTATTACAACAGTGGTAATTAGTGTAATTCCATGAGCAGAAATGATAGAGCTGGAATAGAAATGGAATAGAATGAAAATTCTATTGTATTCCTAGCAGAGTGTTTCTTATCCTTTTCTGCACCATAACTGTAGGAGAAAACTAGATCCACCACTTGACTTCTGGACAAACACAGGCAGAAGAAGGGCTGACATCCAACCACTTGAGTGAATGACAGTATGAAGAAATGAGTGGTTGGAGAAAGACTGTCTAGAACTACAACTCAAGTCTAAGTTAAATTTGTGAAAATTTTAGGTTCAGGGTTTCAACCTCTATCTTTGCAGTGGGTTTGATATATAGTATCACAGATTTAGAACTCAGATAAATTTCAATTAACTATGGATATGAATGATACACATTCTTTAACAGGTGGGTAATGAGTTTTCAGAAAAGCATGGGATATTTGTTTTGGGGGGATATTTGGTTTGGGTGCTCAATGGAGCAATAGCTGAGATGCAATCTTTCTTTTTATCCCATGATAATTTATAAATGGCTGGTGAGGATAAGGTTAACTTGTCTTCCACGAGTTGAACAAATACAGCAGCTGCCTGCCCTCAGTGTAAGGACTGCCAGGCAGGCCAGCCATGCAAGAAAGAAATACATCTTGGCTCAGATGAAAGCTACTTGCACTGAAAGGGATTATAACAGGAGTGATCTCTAAGATGCCTTTCATACTAACTACAATCACACTTGGTTCATGACTAAGAGAAATCTGAACCGCAAGAGGCACCTCTGCTGTTTTCCATATGTTTCTCGATACATATGTTTCTTCATACGTGGAACTGCCTTTCACCTCAACCTCTAAAAAAATCTGTTGAAAAAAGCATGTCTACAGGCAAGCTTTTGTGTTAATTTAGCACAGCTATGGACAGGAATGTTTTTTTATTAAGAAACCTGGCATCTTAAGTCCCTTCGTGTAACGGCTACCTTTATATTTTACTGTAGCCAAAATTATATTTTTCTAACACTCATATTTCATCAGGGACCATTCATAAATGCATCTAAAACAACATAGACAGATTATGTTTCATTGACCACAAGCACTGTCCTATGGTACCTCATTTTATTAGTTCCACTAATCATACACTACAGGTATTGTTTCAGATGATTTGAGAAGACAAAACCAAGTTTGACACAGCCAGTGTGTCCTTGGAAAGTTATGCAATGGAAATATGCATGGTATTAAACCTCACCAGTGAAGGCATGGAGTTGTACAGGGAAGGATATTCTTAAGTCGTTCTTTTCAAGTATCGCTTTCTGTTCTTCACAATGAATTTCTAAAAGACTCTGTATTGAATTCCCCAGTTGCCATCTCAGGAAGGTTGTGCATATGTGAGGAAAAAGAATGCCCTCTTCTGGAAGGGAAATCGTTTGACTTGCCTCAGTGTGAATTAAGGATATGAAGATTAACAGATCAATAGGAAAATATATAAAATATAAGTTCCTAAGTAATAGCATTGTGTTAAATCACTGAGTGATTAAATAGTTGTGAAAAAGTATTTTTTACCCAATTTTCTTGTCAAATTATCTTTTAAAATATGAAGTCATATTAGTATTTGCAATGATCATTATGTTCTCTTCTTCATGTACATGGAGTAAACAGTCCTTTGGTTCTTCAAAATGTGAACTGAACCCTGGCTGTTATGGTCAGGAAAATATTTGCTTTGTTTTAAAAGTAACCAGTATTGCACATCCAAAATAAAATAATTTCATATATTGTTGTTCAAGGTCAAAACTTTTACAATACACATCTTTCCTGTTGAAACTTTATGAGTACTCAATGACAGGTGCGAATGCCTTTCATTATACTCAAAAAATCTTTAGTATCAGCATGTGACTGCTATTAAGAATTCTTTTTTTTAAAATAGATTCTTTTAGTGCTCTGTATTCAAACACCAAAAAGACTTAAAATGTAAATTTCTTTTTTCTATGTTTTCAATAAAAAATTCAACATGTAAGATTCATAGAGTCTAATATTTAAGACTGTAGGTGTTATACTGGGGTGAGTACAGTTTCTACTACATATAAGTTAACTCCTTTTAAGGATTTACAAAGTTCACAGTGTTTTAACTATGGTGTGAATACTGCCCTTGGATGAGTGTGTTAACTTCTCCTTGAATTCAATGTGAATCCTACATGAATGACTCGAGGCAGGAAATGGTCTTTAAAAGGGATTGGTTTGCCTTTTAACAATTCATTCACTACAAACAGAAGCTTTAATCAGTCTCCAGAATAATTTGCTGTTCAAACAAAATAGCAAACCTCTGACATTAAGCGGGGAGAAAATATGATTATTCTTCAATATAAATCGGAATGGGAAAAAACTCTTCCCTGTGTCATGTCCTCCACTAGAGACATTCCTCTTGCAGTGGTTCAAGTGAGGAGGTTGTGCCCCATGTTCAGCAGCATGACAGAGGCAGTCTGGGCTGTCAAGGACATCAACACGCACTGGCTACTCTGTAACTGCCTTGTGATTCTTATTGCCATCTTTTCTTTTGCAGGGAGGCTGGAAATGGGGACAAATAGACAATGGCTTCCCCACCTCAAAACTTGCCCTGTTAATTCACACTTAAGATAACAAAAATGTAGTATGAAAAGGGGAGTTCATCAGTATCACTGGTCAAGAGTTTTTCAGCCATAACACTTCAATGTTTCCCTGAAATCTCCTGTGATCGAACAGAACAGCTCCAGACATGATTTTGTCTCTTAGAAATCAAAATTGAAGGACAAAACTCTATTTGTAAATCTCATTAAATTCTTTCCTCAGCTTCTTTTTCTACTTTATCTCTTTATGTTTTCCATTTTCCTGTTTTCATTATGTCAGATGGTTAGATGGTTAGATGGTTAGACGGTGAAAATGAAACCACCCTCCCCTCACCTGTTTGTAGCATTGGTGTCAGAGATTTGTAAGAAAAAATATCTGCAAAAGACTTACTCCCCCAGTGTGTGGTTCCTTTGTAATATTCTGGAAGTAGTCTGAAAAGGAATTTACAACTATGATAGGTCTAAGAGAAAACTAAGGTGTGAAAAAAATCTAAGAGGAAAGGACAAAAGGAGGATCTTTATTCTTCATTCCATGAGACTGCTAAGAACAATCTGTTAAAAATAAAAGTTATTTCAGTCCAGAACATTCTGGTGTCTTAAGAAAGGTCATTAATTCTTAAACCAAAACGTAAAGCAAGATGTAAATTCCAAGTATGTACTCAGCAGCTTCAAATGATATTGCAGGTATTCAGAGCTAGCAAAGTAGCTACTTTGCTAGTAGAAAGGCAAAAGAGATTTATAACTTGCACGAGTTTTTGTTTCCTGAGAAAAATTTGGTCCTTCTTCAGAATCTCTGATTATACTACACACAAAGTATTTTGAAAAAGTACTGTAAAAAAAACTTCCATTATCAGAGATGGATGTAAATTATTTTGAACATCAGTTTTGGAGTCCCAGCTCCCAATGAAAGTCCAATTCTTTTCTTTCAAAGGTTCTATCAAAAGATCATAATTAAAATATTTGTAATATAGCTTTGAAGTTTCATTATGAGATGAAGACCCAGTCATCAAGACTCTCTTGGCGGCATTATATTAAGAAATAAAGTCAGGTTTATTTATTATTTGCATTTCTTTCTAGTTGTATTTATGCTTTTGAGGGAAGGTACAGATCTTCCTCAAAGAGGAACAACACCAGGAAAGAATTTTTTAACAGACACATTTTATCAGGATTTCTGAATGCTCCGAAAATCTATCCTCAAACAGGATGTACAGCAACCTAATGTACAGCAATGTACTGCAACTGTGCTGCAATGTACTGCAATTTACAGTACTGCAACGTATTTCTTTGGGATAGATACCCTGGTGTGGTACTGAAAAAAAAATTTAAGCCAGGTAACATGGTACATAATGTTCTACATATTATATGATATGGTCGTGAACATAGAGGTTCGCACTCCCTTCTGGTAACTGTCCTAGATAACATTTGGGGTCAACAGGGCCAGAATCATGGCATTACCTTACCCATACTCTTCGTGCTCTTTCATTCAAGAGGGAAGCCAGTGAAACTTTGTATTAGCTCATTTCCTTAATATATGTAGGCAAATTGCAAAACCTGGTTCTAGTAGGATTACTACCAGACAACAACTAATGAATCATGAACAGAGTAGCTGGAGACAATTAGAAATAAGCTTCATTAAAATTTGTTTTAATGGCAAAAAAGTAAATTCTGTACCTAAAAAATTTGTAATTGAGCTTCTACATATCATATCATTTGCTTCTTACTTATCTGAACCTACCATTTCATGGAAGTTGTCTTTGGTAAGAACTGTATGTTTATATTTAGTTTAAGGTACCTGATAGTAGGGGAAGTGGTGCACTGGTTAAATAAATACCTAATGATAATAGGACTAAAAAATTGTAATGGAAGTACAACCTTTAAAATGTTATCTTCAGAATACGTTTTGGGGTAGCATATAGTGCTTTCTCCTTCCTGTCTTAGTTCACATAAACACCAATTCAATCAACTTAAACAGGTTTTAGATGGATTATTTTGTAAAAGCATGCTTTTTGGATTATTTTTAATTCATTTTAACTGTTGCTCCAAGAAAATGGGCTTCCATTTCTTCCCTCATTTGTATCACTTTCCTTAGCTTAGTCAAAATTTAGTAAAAATTTCCTTCTTGGTTTTATTCTCTTTAACCCTGTTACTCTTCTGTGTAACACATCAACACTTCTTAAAGTATACTTTTTTAAAAACAAACTTCCCCCTATTTATCACCTCCTAGCTTTTTTTATGCCTGATGTAAATCAAATTCTACATTATTCTAATGCTTTAATTCTTCACATCCTTCCAGTGTCTTGTCACTGTCATGGTGTTGAGTCTACACAACAAAAGGTTCTCTTCACAAAACCCTGGGAAAATCACAGGAAATTCATATTTTTTATTGCTAGGTGAGGTTTCTCAATCTCATTCATTTCTTGATGTCAGTACTTTTGCATTCTCAGCGCAAGAAAGAAGGATTCATTACATTTGGCATAAAAAGGGTTATCTGTATTCTAAAAAGAGAAGATTCAAGATAAAATCCTTATGTATTGATTCACACAGTATGACACTGTGCTAGTTGCAAGTGACACATAAACCTTTTGTTCTGAGGGTCATTTTTTAAGTCATTTTATGGTCACGTGCTTGAAGCTCTTGAAAAGTTATCCAACAAAAAGTGAAAGTAAAGAGTTGAGTCAAAACAAAATATTACATATTAAAACACTAAGTGAAAAGGCAACAAGCAACGTAAATTAATAATTTGCTTTTGCGTCTATTTTATAGAAATTTCCCATCATAATTATATAGCAAATATATATATGTATAGCATAATTATATAGCAAACCCAGACTTTTAATCCATTAATGGAAATTGCTTTTGGATTAAGGTGAGTATACTCAATGGGTTAACCAGAAAAAAAGAACCGCCTTCTAATATCTGCCATCTATGATTATTATAATCTTGCAGACAAATATAATTACAATGTGTGATGTCTGTTTATGTCTGTGAAAGCTTTGATTGTGTAGTCTTATCTGTATTATACTGCAAAACAGCATAAACATTTATATTGTATAGTAACTCTAATCCATTGATAATGCCCTGAGCTATGGGTGTCACTTCAAATTGCAAAGATTTATGTGATACTTATATCTGCCTTTTTCAGGTGAATTTGACCATAGTGAACCTAGTGTTATACTGATTTGTAGAATGTGGAAGCTGATTAAGAGATTGCAGAGAGGAGTGAAATTACTTAAATAAAATCACATATAATAAAATCATAATTACTCCAGAGTTTCATTATCTCATACAGAAATTAAAAGAGAGGCTGCAGTAACTTTGTAATGATTGAAATATTGAGATAGGACCTCTCAAATTTTAGAGACAAGGTAGATTTTTCCAGGGTAGATTATATTCAAATTCATCACAACATGTTACCAATGTGCATATTACATTTACAATAAAAGCTCTTAAGTTGCATTGAACGCGTCTACTCAATTCTTTAAAAATTCTGAACACTGGAAGACAATAACCTGAAAGAAATAGGCAGGTATTGTATTTTACTTAGATTAGGAAAGAAATGGACTGACAGAAATGAACACAGGGTTTGTATGCAGTTAATGCCATCTCTCAACTTGAAATGAAGTTGAACCTCTAATTCTAAAGGTTGCCAGTTCAACTGTGTGATGGTTTGACCCCAGCTGGCAGCCAAGGCCCACACAGCCACTCACTCACTCCCCCACCAGCGGGATTGGG